CAATTTATTCAACACAAACCTGTAATACTATTGTACTAAAAAATTAGTGAATGGATGTATTAAAATTGAAATTATAATATTTATATTTTTATAATATATTCCTGTCATTAAAGTGATTTAAAGCAATAAAACAATGTACACACGCGTCAAAATCCACTGTGTCAACGACAAAGACAGCGTAAAGAGAGAAACAGAGCTATACCCACTTGAGATAACGCGTCATGCGACGAAGACACCTGCAGAGTACTTAAGATAACGCGTTATCAATGTATGTTTGCTTCAATGCTATACGTATGCTGTTATAAGACTCGTAAAAATAAGAATTTTATTGAAATACTTTTTTACATGATTAATAATAATAACATTAATAATAACACGTTGAAATTTGTTGAGGTAAAATGTGAGCTAGATGTTCTTGGATTTAACAAAAATCAACGCCTCAAAAACAGGGAAAATCAAAATTTATGTATTTTAATACGAAATTTATGCAAAAATTGTCATATTTTAGTATAAAAAAATAGGGGTATAAAAAATCTGAACTAAGAGCCCCCTTTTATATACTACTCCTTTGTTTTGTAGAGACCTCGCAAGGAGAATATCACTGCGACAACAGAGGATTGTAAACTTCAGGCTCGTCGGCGGCAGGCAGAACGGGTCCACGAACTTTCTGCAGTCGACAGTAACACCGAGAGACGTTTCACTCGAGGTATCGGCACGAGTTAGTATGAGCCATCAAGGGAGTTACGTCTAGTGGGTTAGAAAAATATCTCGTGTGAACAATTGAGACAGTAGTTCCTGTTTGCAGAGAATAATGTAAGTATGTGTTATTATGATTAGTGCATTCTGGAAATACGTTTAGTTAAGAACAACTAAATTACTAAGAGAAAAGAAACGGCATTATTACAAGCTATGTAAACAGAAGCATGACTCATTACAAGAATGTCATTTAAGACTACTTATTGCATGCTCTATTTTGACAGTGAAGTTTATGATTCTTCAACATGTTCTTTACATAACATTTCCCACACTGTGAACATGCATAGGGCTTCTCCCCCGTGTGTTTCCTCATGTGCACAATCAAAGCGCCGATCTGCGCCGTAGCATAAGTGCAGAAAGTGCACTTGTAAGGCTTCTCCCCCGTATGTTTACGCATGTGCACATTTAGGTTGCCGAGCAGCGAGGTAGTGTAGGTGCAGAAAGTGCACTTGTGCGGCTTCTCCCCCGTATGTTTACGCATGTGCACATTTAGGTTGCAGTGCTGCGAGGTAGCGTAGGTGCAGACAGTGCACTTGTAAGGCTTCTCGCCAGAGTGTACACGCTGGTGCCTGGTCCAATGGGAGGAGTAGTTGGTGACATAGCTGCAGTGGCTGCATTGGAAGCGGCCGCCCCGCGGCGCCACCGTCGCCTTCCCGCGCTGTGCACCCCCTGCGACCCAAGGACAAAGTCTCATTGCGCGCTCTGTGGGTTAGGATTAAGCCTCCACGGGAGGACAGCTAAAACGGCAACAGCTCCCTCTGAATTAAGGGCTGCGCGTAAACTTAATTTCATAAATCAGAGCTAGGTTTAGATTTAGTCTTTCGGGCAAGAAAAAAAACACGTTGGGCACCAGAGTGAATTGGGCCCAGGACTGAGTATCAGAGGAAGAAAATGATCAGAGAACACTTGATTTATAACTCTAACACGACCAAAACCGATTCTGTGAATCCTGCGTTTAGGTGTAGGCATTCATATTCGGAGAAACATTTCTGTCTTAGATGTAGGCATTCATATAAGGAAACACATTTTACATGGTTGAGGAATACTGAGAAGGAAAAAAAATCTCTGAACACCAGCTTTATTGACATGTTAACACACATTCTATTATACCTACATTTTAACCTAACACAAGCAAATATTAATTAGGATCCTTGGGCCTGAATTTTGTTGTGAGTGGCAGGGCTGCCTACTGCTTCACTTAAAGTACCGACGTCTCCGGATGTCGATAGCAGTTTCATTGCAATAATAGAAAAGCTTTCATATTCGAAAGAGTGAGAAAGATTGATTTTACCCACGCATATTTTCTTTGCCCTTCGAGTGGCTCATGAACTGCGCGATAGCATTCTGTGAAACGGTCCCCGTTATGATTCCCAGTGGGGGCAAAATGAAGAATACTTTCGTATACAAAGCTTTCGAATGCGATGGTCTAAATTTCTGCAGCCGTGCGGCGAAAACGCTCGAACACGCCAAGTCGGTGATGGGATTACCCCAAGCTCTCCACATGTCCCTCTTTCCTAGCGCTCGTCGACATCAAATGGAAACAAAGCCCACGACTGGGAATTCGGCAAAGCTAGATCACTCTATTTACATGTCCCTCTTCCATAACGCAAGCGGATAGGAAAAAGCATGGACCAGGAACACCGCTAGCTACGTCACTCTCTCCACATGTCCCTCCTCTATAATGCTAGTATATCAAATGAAAACAAGGTCCAGGATTGGGAACACCGCTAGCGAGCTCACCCTCCACGTGTCCCTCTTCCCTAGCGATAGTGGATATTGTAAAGCCCCGAGCTCCCTTAACACGGAGAGAGCAGCGTGACCTTATAGATTCAAAAAGTGCTTATCAAACATACAACAATACGTATATCATTTGATTTGCCTTTTCATGCTCATGATAAGATAAAGAGTATGTATATTTCTCTTTGAAAAAAGGAATGTTATCTCAACAACTCGTAAAATACACGAGAAAATGGAAACAAATACGTATAAACTAGCCCCATTCCCTCATGCGCTTCCGTGAAAACTGCAATGCAGTAACTTCAACCGTTTCAAAAATTACAGGACGTGTTAAAGTCACGTGACTCACCTGTATATTACCTTTCAGTTTGTAAGGTGCCTGAAGCCCGCCAGAAATAACATTATTATATTATAAAGTTCCGATGATACTAGCTTAAACAAATAGCGTCTAAATGAGAGCATTGATCGCCTCTGCAAACTTCTGTTTTAAATATGCTAGGCTTTCACAAGGATTTGTTTTTTACATAAGAGTATTTTTATTTGAGCATTAATTAATCTTTTCTCGCCTTCCAACACATACAATAACATATTGTCGGTGCATACGTCACATAAATATTAATATTTTTCTGTTGTCTTTTCTGGGAAAGAATGTTTAGAAAAAAAATGAGACGAAAATTTGATAAAGATTGTACCCAAAACTACCTGTGTAGAGAGTAAAACACCGTTATTAGCTGCGAAATAAACAGTTGCGCTCTGATTAAACGTGTTCTTCAGCAAATAAGTTATAATGACCTACTGTGGTTTAATTAAGTAGCTAAGACGGTTAATTTAAGAACCAGAAGATCATATACAAATTTGTAGGATCAGGGACGAGGGATCTCTGCATTGATATTACAAATCACTCAAATTAAACCCTTTAAAAATGTATACTATAATCTCAGAAATCCATGCAAG